AGTTTTATACATACATACATACATACATACATACATACATACACATACACATGTGCGCACACACACACACACATACATTGATTGAGTGTTTTGAGGGTGGGAATCGCGGCAATTCTGCGCTCCTTTAAACATTTGGCTTGAGAGCAATCTGCCACAGTGCGTGGCATGTTGTGGGGTCTTGGGAGCCCTGGTGGTGAAGGGGAAGCATGCTTGGTTGTGAACGTTGTTGCTTCGTCGTAACTTTTGCCATCTTCAGTGCAATCAGTTAATTAGTCGTGATTTTTTTGTTTATTTTTGCTTTTTTGGGGGCTGTTTCAGCAGGAGGGATATAATAACCCTTGGTTACCTATGACTTCTTGATTGGGCGCAAATGCTGTGAATCGTGACCGCTTGGGGTTCTCTAGATGCTTCAAGTCTTGCCAACCACAGCATTAGGAAGTTTGAGGGTTTAGAGTTTAGCGAGAACTACCCATATCCTTGAGCTGCTCGTTTCCTTTGCTCCCATGACTGGTGCACAGGATGGGAGATGGTAGACTGTGGCATATCGCCCAAACCCAGACACCAAGACACATATTATATAGGGGGCATGCGCTCGGCCAAGGTTTCAATGGGAAGCATGCTTGTTGCCTGGTCCACCCCCCTCCCTCCTGCAACGCAAGCAAAAGGTTACGACTGAGCAGAACAAAAAATTACAACTGACCCTGCTACCGTTTGAGGCCTACACTGGCTTGTCATCTTCTGCTGCTCAGATGTCAGTTCGAGTTCGCTTGAGTCTCCTGGGTGTTGGGACCTTTCCATGGCAGCATTTTCGCGATTCCTCTGGCCATGTTTCCTCAGATTTGCTGTCCCAGCTGCCTTGTCCCTACCTGCTGAAGCTGGCCATACTAGATGTGCTCTATAGCAAAATCGTACTGGTATCGTTTGCAAATGCATCTGGGTTCTGTTGCCAGCATCTCGTTGTTGTGTCGAGCTTCCCTTGTCCAGCCATTGCTTGCAAGTCAGTCCGTCCAGTCTACTAAGTCTACCACAGTAGGGGATTCTCCTGACGTGCTCTCAAAGTACTTAAAACCCGGAGTCGCTCCAGGTCTGCTCAGATCTTGGATTTTTGTGGCGACGATTAAAGAAAAGTGGCTCCCGCATGCCTTTGTCTGAGGTGAAAGGACCTTGTGCGTAACCCTTACCATGTAATTATAGTACAATGTATAGAGGGGTGGATTCTTGATGTGGTCCAGCAAGAAAGATCCGGGAAGTAATTCGTTGAGATTGCCCCGACTTTCGCGGACGACGGCAGGGTTCAGGTTTTTGCTAGATGGACAGATATACGAAAATTCTGACCGAGATGTGACAGTCTCTGTAGTGGGGGTCCGGAATTATTACGAGCTTGCAACTCGATGCTCCAGAAGCTGGCCCAAGGCCTCGCCAAAGCTTCCGGCTTATTCCATATTCCGCCGCATCTTTGATTGGCAAAAACAGAGCCATGGACAGGGCACCGAGTGAGAAGGGAAAGGTCAACAGCATTTCTCGGTGTCTGCCGCGTGCGGCAGCATCTAGTCTCCCCACTACGTCGAATGCTTTACCATGCTTTTCCGTCCAAGTTCGAACAACACTGGTGACTTTGCTTTTTTGTATTTGGCTGCCTTGAGAGTGTGCGTGTGTTTGCCAGTTCCATCAGGAGTTGAATTACGACGAGATGGAAGAGGAGCATCAGGACGGAGCGGGGCGAAGGGATAGAGGGGGAGGGCTGGAGGGAGCGAAGAAGGGAGTAAAGGCCTTGAGCATGAGGAAAGGCAAGAGTTCGACAGCCGAGAAAGACAACAATGTGGAAAAAGTAGCTGCCAGGTGCTGCGATTCAGATACTGCGTGGCTGTGCTCAGGAATTGCTGCGTGTCATTCGGTCCAGGGCCCAGCACGGCATGCCCAGAGCGGGAAGGTCACAGCTTCATCCAATGGCGCCTCAATGCAATTGCGTGTCTGAACCGGCTAACTGCAGAATTGAGGCAAACGCATGGCGACGGGGCCACAGAACCCCAAGAGAGCCTAGTGGTGGACTCGCAGGTCTGCTAAGAGCCAAGACACGCCCTCCAGAAAGACCGCTGTGGGGGTCTCGGGCAGGTGCCTCAGGTCCTCGACCTGGGCATGAACGAGGACGACTGCGACGCAGACCCTTGGCCCCAAAAGCTAAGCCTGTAATGGCCCTCTCCATCATGATGGGAGGTGCAATAAGAGGAGTGTTCCGTTCCCAGGCAGGGTGAAAAGTCGCACGTGGCAGAAGGTGGATGGCACGGATCTGTTACTGTCATTGCCGATCGAGGCCACTCGAAAATGGACCTATGGTTGTCATCTGCTGTTGCTAAGGATGATCCCGTGGGACGTTCAGACGGTCAGTGGCCTGGCAATGTGCTTCAAAAGCTATCAAGTATGTGCCACGTTGTGCCGCTACATGTGCTCCCTTGCGAATACCCCGGAGGCATGGTGATGCAGCTTACAGTGAACTTGTGTGTCACTCTGGGCGGTGGCAAAGCCGTGGAGAATGCAGCGGACTCTGCCTTCCAATAGGCAGCAGAAGTGATCCGTCCTGCTCACTGCTCACAGCTTATTCAAATTGGTCAGCTTGTCATACTTCGGAAGATGCTGTTGAGGTCTCCATCACGTTGAAGGCGGGCCATTGTGTGTCCTGTGCAAGCCTACAGCCTCGGTGGCTCAATGCTTCAAACTGTCGACTGAACGAGGGGCCCAAGAGTGACAGGCGCCGCAATGCTTCGCTCTATCGCAGACATCCATCTTCATAGACAAGGCTTTCAATGCTTCATGCTCGTGGCGAGAAATGCCGTAAATGACTATCAATCTCGCTTACACCCGCTTTCAGATGAAGGTCGAGCCTGGCCGGCCACCAGTGATCATTCCTATCGTCTTTCGTGTGCCGGAGCCTTTTTGGATCTGCATTTTTATAGTGCGCGCGCTGCCACCAGCTGCCATCAACATGTGTGGTGCCAAGGTGGAACAAGATCCTCTGCTCCAACTTGGAGGTAGCTGTTTGTGCATCGTGCCCCGTGCATCTACGGATTTTGAGCACAGAACCACTGGGCTATCTATCAACGCAAGGTACTATTCGCTGAACAACGAGCCTCGTACAGTCGCATCTTCCTTCTGGTTGCCATTTGCTTTAGTGGATCCTGGCTCAGAGTCTAGAAGCGTTTGGCAATCCGCCTGCGACGCTCATGCTTCGGGGGCGCACCGAAGCAATGTGAAGCATGCAATGTCGACGGTTTCATCGCACCATATCGCACCCGAGGCCAAGCCGATTCCGCCCGTCAAGAATGCAAAGCACAAGATTCAGCTGGACTGCAACAAGTAGAGCTCTCAGTGCTGTTGGCGCGCGCGATCGCACGTGGCAATCGTGAAGTATTGGAGCTCAGGCAGCCTCCACAGCTGCAAGTGCTTTTTGCCGGCCTGCTCAACCAGCCGCATGTGTTTGGAGCCCGTTGAGGAGCAACTAAGTGCACTTCTACATGCCACAGATTCTCAGAGAGGTCGGCTGCAGTGAGCCAGGGCATGTCCGGCTCTCATGACGGAAAGTTTCCGACTTCGGCGGCTGAATTTTCATGGTCGCTCCACGTACCTGTTGGCATGTGGCAGGTCCAACCTGCTCTCCATTCAGTATGTCTCCGGAACGGAAGCAACCGTGCTGATGCAGCAGACCCAGTCTCACGAGAAGTTCCATTGGCGAAGATGTCGAGTCCATGCTAGCGGCTATAGGCTGCAGCCGAAAGTCCATCCGAGAAAGATTGCTTGCCATGCTAGTCAAAGGATGAATACATCATGGCGTGGTAAGGTTGAAGAGCAGCGGGCGCTTCTGCGTACAGGCAGCAGAATTCGCCGCTCTCTGGGTGTTGACGCAGGACATGCTTGTCGCGGCTAGTTGCATCTGTAGTCTTGCAATGACCTCGTGCGGTCAGGAAGCTCCACCATCTTCGCTATGCTATTGAAAGAACATTGGCCCGTGTTCTGTTTCCTTATTGGTGGTGCCACGACACATGTGTGATCGTTCTCTGAGCTGTCAACTGCCATCCATTGTGGACCCTCGGAAAAACCCACCCCAGTAGAAGCACAGAAAGGAGGGACGACAGCGGAATGCATGAATGGGGTTGCATAGATGTTGAGCAGTTGGAACATGTTGGAACGCATTGAAACGAATCCTCATGACTTCGCCGCTGCAGTTGCTGGGATGACTGTGGAACCTCCTGACCTGGATGACCCATGTCCAATGCGTCAACTCACGCATGTGGACGCTTGAGCCAGAGCCTGTGCTATGCATGCCGCATTCTGAACATGCTAAGCAGCCGCGGCAAATCGGTCAGCGGAGACAGTTGCCGCAGTGAGTATCGCCGGCGAAGCATTTGCCTTGTGCTGACGTATTCTCAACACGTTCGCAGCAATTCTCAGAAGGAATTACTTGTGTCGTGTTCCCGTCAGGAGCTTTGCAACCGTCTCTATGAATATTTTGGACCAGGTGGTGAAGGCAGCTCGTCACGAGGATGAGCATCCATCCTTCAACAAAACTTACTTACGTTGCAGAGGTGCTGCCGCAGACGACGAGGCCAGGTCACAATGTGCCAAAGGGTTTGAGGCGAGCCGCTGTCTGCATGTCATACAGTGTCAGGAGCCTTTCTTCATCACTTTCCAAGACAGTTTGCCTTTGCTTGCGGCTCATCATCCGTCCAACTGCACGCACTTGCGGACCACGATGTGAGGCAATTGTTCCACCGAGGCATGACTACTTTGCATTGATTGATGATCATTTCGATCTTCGACGACATCTGGACGAACTGCGCAAAGCAAGTGCCCTATAGCGAGCCCCATGAGGCTCTAAGCCTGTTAGACTTTGCCGACTCGCACGATGTCGCAGTCTGTGACTTCAGCTCGGCTAGGAAGAAGACCTAATGGAAGAGCATCATATAGTGCTATTATCTGTCAGAGCGTACGATTGTTTCCCAGGACCTAGCAGATCGAACGCAGCAGTACCGCGTCATCCAGAAGAGATTGCTTCCAGCTTAGAGTAGTTTGGACGATTGGACAAACTGAACAGTTTGAGCGGGCCAGTGTACAGTTTTTCAAGCCTGCTCTGAGGCTGGTTCGCTTTAAGGATCGGAACCCATCACCGCTGAATCATCTGGATACACTGCCGCACGGCCGAGTGCTGTGGGTTTGTGTGGCCCCATCTTGTCTCGACGCGAGCGAGCGAGGCTCAACTTGACCTTCGAGCAGACACTGCTGCTTACAGATGCCATCGACGACGTGGAACAAGCTCTGAGAACGGCCAGCCTTTTGTAATGCTGTGTGCCGTGTGTCATCAGTGAAAGAAGTGTTGGCTCTAAGGAGAAAGTACGCTCAGTTTAGACACGGCTCATCTCGGCAGGTTTCTTGCCATCTCTCGGCTGCGACGGAGCCTTTTCCCCAGCCCAAAAGGTTGCTCAAGTCAGCGTTCGGAGATCGGAGAGCCTCTGCCATCTGCCGGCCATCTGCCGGGCCGAGACTCGTGCTGTTGCTGATCAAGTTCAGATTCGGGATGGACGAGGAGAATTTCATCGCGCTCAGAAGGCAAGGCAGCAAATAGATCCAAAGAGGATTTCTGAACGTGACGGCTGCTGTGCTCCACGGACCCGCAGGCATTTGACCCCAGAAGTTTGTGATACCACGGAGCAGGGCTGGGAGGAGAAGGTGGGCTCCCTACAGTAAGTGTTTGCCAGGTTACGGGCTCTTCAAGCCTCTCTTCTCTCACTTCGGACGTGCCTTCTAATGAAGCCGGCATGGGGCTGAAGTGATATCAGAAGGACTTGGGAGAGGCAAAGGCAAGGGAGGTCTCGGCTCGTTGCCAAACAGGCAAGTTGACGAGAAAGGACTCTCACATCACGCTTGCTTCTGAGACCCCTGCCCAACGTCAGGTAGACACCTCCTTGCTCCATCTTTTGCGAACAGCGCTGGCCTGCGGACTCAGCCTGTGCATGAGTAGCATCTAGTCTATGTCGATGATTGTCGATGTAATTGCAGCTCTTGTTGACCTGCGAAGCTGTGCAGGCAGCGGTCGCTCGACGGATAATCGGGTAGTCATAGAGAGCCAGCAGAGCAAGACAAGTTCTGATACCCCGACCGAAAACCCGTTGCGACGGAAATGATAACTTTGTTTGGGTTCTACTTTGGGTTGGATGTTGCTTGAGTTCCATGTCTGAAGCTTCGTGAAAGCCGAATTTTCACCGAGTCCATTTCGACATGCTGCACAATCGGCTGCGAGCACAAGATTGCACACGGGCCCCGTGCCGTCGAAAGGAGCTTCTGGAATGCTCCGTGCATCTCCGTGCCGTTTTTCATCCATGCACAGCTTGCTATGAAAAACCTTCAGCAAGTCCCCGATAACTCCCTTTCCAAACCGGTCATTCGAATGCTGTGTTTGCAAGTGGGACGGGAGGCCCACTTACAAGACACCTTGCCCCACTAATCTATGGAAACCATTCGCCCAAATCTGAGCCCGAAATCCCAAGCCCAAACCCCAAGCCCAAAATCTTAGCCCAAAACCCCGTTATACCCATATGCCAAACCCCAAGCCCAAAATCTTAGCCCAAATTCCCAAGCCAAAAAATCCCGAAACCCATATCCCCAAAACCCCGTTATACCCATATGCCAAATATCAACCCGTAAAACCATATCCCCAAATCCCCGAAATCCTACTCCCAAAATCTCAAGCCCAAAGTCTCACGTCCAAAATCCCCGTAAAACCATATTCCCAAAATCCCAAGCCCAAAACCTCAGAAAAACACCTTCCCCCACAAATCCCCGTTATTCCTCAACCCAAACCCCTAAGCCCAAAACCCAAGAATAACAATAAACCTTATACTGGGGCAAGGTTGTTTTTACAAATCAAGGCTCTAACGAGCGTGTCTCTCTAACGAGTTATGACGAAATGTTCGTGATAAATACACGTTGAAAGGTATGATATGTTATACCGTTAATCATGGGAAGTTTAATATCCACCCCAGCAAAAATAAAAAAATCCTAAACCTATACATGTCCATCCTAAATTCTCATTAGGCGAATGCATGTTTAAAATTAATAACGCCGAAGTGTATAGAGACGTTGAATGTAAAGTAATATTTAAATATGTTGTAAGAGATGAAGTTTGTAAAGATATACGGGG